AACCCGCAGGCTCAGGCAATTCACTCACCTCAGCCTCCCAAAGGCGTGGGATTACAGGCTAAGCCACCGAGCCCGACTTTTTTTAATTCCACTGTTTTCATGCATGTTTAATGTAATTTTTTCCAAAAAGCTACTATTGAGAATCAATGAACATCTTACACTTAATGAAATGTTAGAATCAATAAATATTTGTTAAATGAGCGAAGGAACAATTAACACTTCGTAAAAGAAGAAACATGAATTTCAATAGACAGAAAAAAGATGCCATTGATAATAAAGATAAGGGCCTCACTGACAGTAAACAGATATTTCCTGAGAGCAGGACGGAGAGTGGGAGGCTCTGACTAGGGGTGAGATTTGGGATCTAATCCTGGTTCTGCTGTTCACTATCTATGTCACCTTGAGCAAGGTCACAAATACTCTGACCCTTATGTTCTTCATTCTTAAGGTAAGGATAATACCAATTCACTCAAGCTGGTGAAAATCCCAGGCCGGTCAAGGTGGTTCAGCCTATAATCCCAGCACTTTGGGAGGCCGAGGTGAGAGGATTGCCTGAGCCTGGGGTTTCGAGATCAGCCTGGGCAACTTGGTGAGACCTCATCTCTACAATAAATCACAAAATATTAGCCAGGCGTGGTGGCATGCATCTGTAGTTCCAGCTACTTGGAAGGCCAAGGTGGAAGGATCGCCTAAGCCCAGCAGGTCGAGGCTGCAGTGGCCGTGAGCGTGCCACTGCTCTCCAGCCTAGGTGACAGAGTGAGGCTCCCAACTCAAAAGAAAAAAGGAAAATCCTCCAAACACTCTGCAAACTGTAAGGCACTATCCAAAGATAAATTATTGTGCTGTGAAGGCTAGCTCTGATAGAATTGAAAGTAGCCTGAACAATTTTGCTAAAGTTCTGTGGGGCACTGACCCCTAGTCAAAGCATGACACATACTGATTAATAGATTAATAGTGTTGTTTTGTAACTGTGGATTCAAGGAGTTTAGGAATGGTTTGTGTCAACCTTTTAGCATTATTGATTGATAAGTGAAACTAATGATTTACCTGTGGTCTTAGGGAGACACCCCTTCCCAGAGGGCTTTGCTATTGATCAAGGCTGGTTGCATAGTAGGAATATGTCTATATGACTAGCAAAATATTTTAAAAAATAAAAACAGCATAGACTCCATTTTTAGTTCTTTGTTACAAGGTGTTCCATGTACATCTTGATGGTTCCTGATCCAAGAAAGAAATGGGTTTTGTCTCTTGACAGGAGGATAATAGGAGCTTGCGCTTTCCAGACCTTTCACTGTAAGACAGCCTTTGGCTGTGATATATATCCTTACTTTCATGTTGTAGGTATATTATATTTTTTTCTGTAATAAACTGTAGATTTATCATCAGTGTTTGGGGTTCTGTAAGACTTCTTTAGCAACCAAGCTCTCTTAAGCCCCATTTAACTGCCACCATTAGTGCAGTTTGTGTCACAAGTGGGATTTATTGGAAAACCCCTGACTCATTCCTAACTAAAAATATGGGGAAGGAATTATTTAGAAAGGAAAAAAAATGATTCTGATAAAAGGGATGAAAATTAACAAGCTACTCTCTTTCTGGTTTTTTGAAGTAGGACAGACTTGAAATCAGATATGAATAATAAAACTTCCCGGCAAAATCTGGAAATGAAAGAATCTGAACCTCAAGAGCTAGAGAAATGGATCAGAAAGGAACTACAAACTAATGTCAGTTCAGCTAAAATTTCAGTTGTGTGGTTGCTGCTTACAGCGGTAGGAAAGTGAAGGTAAGTTCAAAATCTCTTTGGGTCAAGCTATGCCCTCTCTGTTTCACTCTATAATTTTTGATGACTCAGCTAAGCAAAGACAGCACTTCAATGGGGCAAGATTAACAAGGGAGGGCAAGAAATCATGGCGATAAGAGGTTATTCAGTGAAGGCATTGAGATGTTTTGTAGATCATTACAGACACGACCCTGATAAACCTTTGTTAAAATGGGTTCTGAGAATTTTAGAACAAAGAGCCGTGTCTCTGGCTTTGAACACTGC